TTTGGTTAAGAATAAATTTTACAAAATATTAAAAAGATCATTTAACATTTTTCTTTAAAAACATATACCTACGTACGTTTTTCAAAGTTTCCAGAACATTGTTCTTTCTTTCAAAAGGTTTGATTCGCAATGGTAAGGGTCCTTTTTTACAATATCATATACAAGTTTCTGTTACTCTGGATGTCAAAGAACTTTTGTGCTTTTTCTCGTTAGAATTAAACCTATCATTTGCCCAAAGTATTATTCAAAATCACCATTAATACATCTTAATGAGAGTCATATGCGTGGAATGTATAAAGCACTTTTCAAAACGCCAATATCAGTAAGAATGTTTTTCCAGAAGCTGTTTTTATTTGATGTCCATCTAACTACTCGATTTCAAGTATGACATGATATGACAATATTTGAAATAGCGTATTTGGTGAGAAAAGAAAATTTTGTATGATGAATAGTACATTTTTTCTACTGATTTCATTATTTTATTTAATCATTGAATTCTCCTGTCCACAGAACCTTGAGTTAACGAAAAAAACAGTGAGACTTTAATATTACATCAATTTGAAAATGCAACTGAAGCTCTAGTAAAATGAAAGGCATTCCTCCAGCTTTTTTTACTATACCTTCATAATTATCAACTTCCCCAACAACATGCACCTTCGGTCTAATTCAATCAGCATATATTTCTTACTATCATCTACAAAGCAACATTTCTTGAAAGATAATTTACCACGGAAATATCAACATTAACAATTGTTTTCGAATTTCACACATCCCCATAAACCCCCGAGGGGGTCATTTAAAGGTTGATTTTGAAAGGTCCAAACAAGTTCCTAAGACATTCATAAGGCCACATCGAACAGAAAACAAAAAAACATTTTACACATATTCTAGTCAGGCATTTCCTTTGATAAAAGGCTAGAAAATAAGACAGCTAAACGAAAGACAGAACATAACAAAACTAAGTCTTACCATCTGTTTTTCCATGGAGCATAGGGAAAATAAAGAAAACAGAATATAACACTTTGAAAGAAACCAAGTTTTAATCTAGTTTTCTAGCTAAATACTAGTTTCGGAATTTGATTTCCGTGGGAGACAATCATGCCGTTTTTATATACATCGTGACAAAACAAATCAGAATGAATTTCCATGGAATTCTATAATATATCACCAGAAAATTGAACTATTAAATGCAATTAAATCATCACTCCGGTTCCTAATAGTTTATTTTTTGACACTTCTTCTCAATTCATCAAAACATTGGCCTTGTACGTGTCAAAACATTTTTGTTGCCGGTCGTTATGTTCAAAATTTGAAAAATGTTCACCCTCACAGGCACTGTTTCCAGAAAGAAAACGTTGATGGTATATAATTTAACTTTAGTAATAAAAAAACTAGTATTCTTCAAAACCTGGCAAATATAAATTCATCACTGTTCAAAATGAATAATTTGGTTCAGTCTCTAATTTTTTCAAAGATTGATTTAGATTGATTTGGAGTTAGCTCCAAACATGGACATTGTTGCTAGTGAATCTTGGTACGGTCCTGTCTAGGTGACTGATGACGTGAATCTGACAGCTATCGACTGTTAAATATATTGATTTAAAAACAATCGACAGGATGAAAAATGAGACGTTGAATTGAACAACCACATTAAACAACGTGACTTTCATAGGAGGAAGTTTGGGCCGGTTCCAAAAAAAACTGCACAATTCATGAAAGAAATATTTGATGTAGACGTCATATTGAACTGGATTCTTAAAAAATAAATTTACTGTGAACTAAATCACGACACTTCAAAAAAAATTATAAAGATTCATCCTATAGTTGAACAATATCAACAAACAATAAAGAAAATGTGAAAATTTCAGAAAAATTGCCTTGGAATCAAAATATTTAACGGCCTTCTTCCCAGTTAAGAACGTTTCAGAAAAGTGAGATAGATTGAGAAAATAAACAAACAATATCATAACCCAAAACTAGTGTTATGTTCGTAAATGCATTTGAAAACCTATCACCAAAATTTAAGAAATGTCAGTTTGACGTCAGGCATGACAATTTTATTTAATCAAATTTAGTCAGTCCAAGTGACCGACAGGTGATATTTTTATACTACATTGTCCATGATGTAGTTTTTCAACTATATTTATTTGTTCACCAAATTACAACCTGAACGAACACAAGTGCTTTTTTATGTGACGGTATTGAAACTTTCTATACTTATACGTTAATTTCAAGAAATTGACATGAAATGTTCAAAAATTATTCGTATGATTTACCACTTGTTTTAGGAGGATTCTCATAATACTTTTCTAGTGTAGTATTGTAATCGATAAAATGCTAACAATTACTGATTATCCTTCAAAAACAGATAGCAAATGAGACAAATTTTCTTGAAACCTACTATAGAAGGATAATCAAATACAACCAAACTTCATAGCAAGGAAAGAGCGACTTTGTAACTCTTTTTCTACGAGACTGTTTCGGAGTTCAAGAAGTTCAATATTTTCTACCCCTCTTCAGTGAACAATATTTTTTTCGTAATTACGATAATAGAAGCATTTTGTAGATGTCTCAGAATAGTGTCGCCATAATACGCGATACATTTCAGTTATGGCAAGAGCAAATATTTAATCAAGGTCAATGTTCAATTTGGCGAGTTTACGAATACAAGAGTTTCATGGCTTTCGGGAAAAACAAATGTAAGAATTTCCATATATAGGTCAAATGTGTCCCCAAAAAAAAATTAGAACAGGGGAACACAATATTGAAAAGTTTCGGTCAAATTTCCGTAACCGATTTTTCATATATCAGAATGATAATTTCAAATTGCATAGCCCAATATCCAAAGCTGACGTAGGGTTTCTCATTATTTATTTCAATTTTCGAGATTTCCAAATAAGCGTTGGTCACAAAACAAACTCAGTTGGGACTGTTTTGGTTGGTTTTCCAATTTTGCCGTGGTCTTATTTGGTTACAATCTCCAAACGTTTCAACTGCTGCAGCCATCTTCAGTAGCGTGGTCCAAGTACTCTTTTGAGGTATCAACTGACACCAGTTAATAAGAAGAGTACTTCGACCACGTTACTGAAGATGATTGCCGCAGTTGCAGTCGAAACGTTTGGAGATTGTAACCAATGCCACGGCAGAACCCGGAAACTAAGTAAAATATTGACGCCAGCCGTGAAAGCATATAGGTGTTGACGATAAACTATATTTGCATCATTTTACCGAGTTGATAGTTATTTCTCAGTTACAACCAACAAATATTATTTTTACTGGAATTCACTACAACTAATGTTTTTTCAAATAGAGTACATTTTTTTCCACAGAAAAATATTTTGACATATTCGTTGAACATTTAAGAAACCTTTGAAAATTTACTAGCAACATGCTTCAATATTATGTGATATCATTCCATTAGTAATGATTTTACCTAATTTTCAATATTCTTCAAATATTGAAAAATAGTCAAATTTTCGTGTAAAAGTGTTGTCCCGAAAACCATGAAGTAGCGTTATTAGTCAATAAGTATTGTTCCACAAATAAAACTGGCACAACACGCGGATTAATTTTCGAACAAAAGAAAAACAATTAAAAATGATATTAAGGCGGGTGTGTTATTAAAACGAGTTTGAAAGCGGCAACAATTTTTCCTTCAATCGATCATTTCATTTCATTCGATAGCCAGTAACTTTCATTGGAGAATATTTTCCATTATATCCCAAATCGATCCGACATATTCTGGATATAGATGGTGCATCCAGAGAACTGACAATATTTTCAGAATTTCTCTAATTATTCCCATATCTAAAACACTCCTTAGTAGTTCCCAAAATCATTTGACAATAATCGACTTCGTTTGAGTTTCAAGTCATCCATATTGATTTCCTTTCATAAGAAACAATCAGCTTCTTCTACCACGTCTAGCTTTTGGAACTGTCTGGCACAAAACTGTGGCCAGCTTGCTCTGAACTTTTATAAACGTCACGAAAAGCATGGAGGCCTAATAAAGTTCCTATTCTAAACGTTGTCATTCATGCCATTCATTTTGGGTACAGATAACTTGACTAGATGGTTCACCAATCTTTGAATCTACAGTTGTACCTCTATCATAGTTTCCTCAAAACTTCCCATTTCTATTTAAAAAAAAATTGAAAGTCACTACTTCAGAAACCTACAGGTTTGAGGATGATTCATTTTAAAGAATCACTAAGATACTTTTCTGCTACTATGTGTCAATATACATCTTGAAGACTTTTCAAGTTCTAGTTTGACACCACAATTTATATTGTGACTCCATAGAAGGGAGTAGGTGGCATCTATCTTGGTCTCTTGCTACATGAGTGAAATACTTTTCTTTCCGAGTAGGGATAAAATCAGTTAGCTTTCTGTATCAAAGTTACAGTATCAATACACATGAAAGACATTGGTCATTGTATGCCACAACGGTTTAGGTTTGTGCAGAATTCGGTGTTGCAGTTTTTGCCATCTCTAGATCTGGCAACTATGTCAAGCAAAATCAAGTTGAACTTTCGAGGTTGGTATCTTTCCTTTCTAGCGGTTCAGAATAACAATCTAGATAGTGTAACTTAGGGACAAAACCATTCGGTGCCACTAGTTTAGAACTGGTTATGGAAATGGGAATTTTCTTGCCCATCAAAAGATTATGTTTCTCTTTGTTTGTTAATTGAAACAAAATCACGTCGTAGATTCTATATGCTCTCTTCAAAGCTCTTGCCAATGACGATTCATGACTATATTGGCAAGAAACGGACAAACATTATTAATTCAAAGGTGTGCCTTTCGGCCTCAACAATGCTCCAACCACTTTTCAAAGTTTCATTCACTTATTTGATAAAAAGTTACGTACCGTCACAAATCAATGTTTTTTGGCTATTGAAGGCAATGAAAGAACGTTCTGGAAAAACAGTTGCAGCTTTCACACCCGTGTTATTAATTGAAACTCCTCTGTCCAAGCTGCATGTTCTGTGATAACTTACCAGGTTTTTTTATAACAATTTTAGCCTGTTTCGCTGTGTAGGGCGCGATCCAAGGCGAGTTTATAGACAAAGTAGTGAAAAATAGAAGTGTCAGAATAGGAGAAAAAACATAAGCAATACGAGTGCATTAAATCACTGTGTTTCGAATAGAGAAAAATTTCAAACAAATGTGCCGAAGAGTTATGCAGTGCTCTTTTAGAGAGAAAAATACTTTTGTATGTGGATATTTGTCGTTAACTACAACCTCATATCGTACAATAAAAATATGGACAAGATGCTACTTGGGTCTTGGAAAAAAATAAGAGTAAACACATCGAGGGGGTTGGGAGTCGTTTCAAGCGTAACCGGCGGGATTTTGGGATTCGTCAGGCTCTAGGGGCTCAAACTCTGTCACACAAATTCACCGTCGGTTCACGCTATCAAGAGGTCTTTATTGGGTATTTTTTATCATTCAAAGGAAAAATCCATGCAAAACACAAATGGCGGTTAGTAACATTTTCAGACAGGACTATTACTGGGTCGCATTCCAACTAAACTTTACTCGAATTAGTACAAATTTCAGTGACAAAATGAAAAGAACATGGTTTTGGATTTCTCTAATGATAACAACATAGGTTTTTAACGTTTTCAAGACGTTAGTATTTCTTAAAACCTGTGAGTAAAATGAGTTAATTGAGAAATTACTTTTTTACTTAGCTCTAAATTTAAGAGAGCTAACGTTATGTGAGTCTATTGTAAAACATGGTGATAAGCAAACAACTGTCACCAAAGAACCGAAGCAATTTCAAGGATGACTTGTAAACGAAAAGGAACAGATTTGCCAACGTAATTTTTTTTCAGATTACGATTTGAGCTTCCTGAATTTTCTTTCTCAGTGATGAAATCCTATTACAATGACCTTTTCACTCACAGTATATGTATATGGATTTCATTTTTATATTGGATTCGTTGAATGAAGCCGGCTATTTATAAGACTTGACATGATTACAGTTATAATAATGAATACTGAATGTAATATAATGACAAAAATAGTTTCAATACATGTGGTTGACACATTCTTTTTCAATGAATCTGAATTATGTACAATATCATGTACGAGGTTCCGAATTCACTTAACATTTGTTTAATAAAGAGGATTTGTTCTCGAGACACTATCGATAAAAGAGAATTGACTTTCTTAACTATTGTGGTAAATGTGTTGATAAACCCTAGAACTTATCTTCTACGACACCGAATATGTTTAATATGCCCTCTGAGAGAGGTCTTTATAGTTCATTCAGTTTGCCTAACATACATTTTATCATTAACTTAATGATTCTCAGAGCTTAAAAGTTTGCACCATCTTGGCTTTCAGGCTGTCTAGAATTTGTAGTGCATAAGAAAATTTATGAGCTACTTTAATGCTGGTTTTTTATATTAGTCCATAGAGAATATCAACAAACTTTGAATTACTTTTCTGGAAAGTAAGTTGAATGAATAAAGCTATAACGCTGTAACTTCTTTCGGAGTGTTTATTAAGACTCTAAGGGTGTTATTTTATTATTGAATATAATTCTGTAGCATTGCAAATATATTTTGAAAAGCCTCATCCTGTAAGAAGTCGCGTCTAACATAAAAGTAGAGATAAGCAATTTTTCAAAATGTCTTGTGGATTTCACCAGTACTCAACTAACAGTAACTTTATCAGTACGTTACTATCTGATAGAGAAATTGATCTGATAGAAAAAATAGAAATACAAATGTTATGGAGGCAGATCTTCTGATATTTAATTGAAAACAATAATTTTTAGGACATATTAGCTTTTGAGAAAAATTAACTACCCATATGAATGCTTTTACGACTTCTCATAGTGACAAGAGCAGAATTCTCTCTCAATTGATTGTTTCGTTTGATTGTTTCGTCCTCATCCCATCCTTTGGCGCCCAACGCGGGGCAAATCGAATACCTTCAATTAGTAATCTAGTAAAACGATGAGCATTCATCACTCGTACAAAATCATAGTTACAATCTACAAAAAAAAAGCTCATTTCAATGAACGATTTGTTGTGGGTTTTCCAGGAACAACTGGGAAACGAACCATGCAGTGATATACTAAACGAGGCTTGGTCTTACTAATGCCCCGCTATAAACCCGAATCAAGTCTTCAATAAAAACAACGGTGAAAGATGTTTTATTCTATGTATAAGATAATATTTTTGCCGTTACTATAACACTGCATATTTTCAAGACGATTTTAACATTTGACTCATTTCAACTCTACAGGATGTCCTATATAAAACTCAGCGAGCAAATACCTGGAAAATTAAAGAGAATATCAATATTTCGTGAAAGCAGACGATTTCGATGTCATTGTTATTTACGTAGAGATCTAGCACTAGGCGTCGTTCGTTAGAGCGTCGTGACACCGACGCCAATTTTGTTGAATGGTAACCCAGATTTAGATTTTTTGTTTTTGGATTCTGCATCAAATTCTGAATTCAGCTATATAGCACACTTGCAGTTTCCCTTGAATACTGATGAAAAAAGGCAATTTTCAAATGCAGAAAAGTTGGATATTATATGTATTTATGGCGAAGCAAAAAGTAATTCAAAAGAAGCAGTGAGAATATACGCTTATCGATATCCTGACAGAAGATTACCGTCAGACAAAACATTCGTTAGCTTAGCCAAATCTTTGACACAAAATGGATGTTTTAATGAATGTTATATCAACATGAGTGTTATATCAAATGGTATTGGAACCACATAGCTCTACCAGACACGTAGCAGTGATATTTCGAAATCGTCGATACAACGTCTTTGCCAAAAAACAAATTCCACCCATGCAAAATACTTCTGGTTCAAGGACTTAATCCAGGTGATAATTTATATTTTATTTTTAATAACTTTAATCTATTCCCATATTCAGGAAATGCTGATAAAAGATTCATGGTTGTCTAGCCGTATTCACGATGATGATCAGTTTCTGAACAAAATATTATGGAGTGATGAAAGCCATAACGACGGTCTAATAAATAAACATAATTGTCACTATTGGTAAACCCTCATTGGATGCAAAAAACGAGATTTCAGTCTGAGTGGGGAACTGATATTTGGTGCGGAATCATTGATGGTTATTTGATAGGACCTCATTTTTTTGAAGAAATTCTCAATGGGGAGAGGTACTTGGTTTCCCTCCAACATGTGTTGCCGAACCATTTGGAGAATTTACCAATACAAACTCGACTGAATATGTTGTTTCAACAAGATGGGGCACCTCCGCATAATGATATAATAGTTACCCAATATTTGGATCACAGTTTTAATGAGAAATGGATTGCAAATAAGGGTCCATTTCCATGGCCAGCTCGAGGTCCAGATATTACTCCACTAGATTTCTTTTTGTGAGAATATTTCGAATACTTAATTTATATGCGCGTCCACAAAATGCAGATGATTTAAAAAATAGTATCACGCTCGCCCGGAATGAATCCCTTAGATTATTTTCTCTGGGGACACCTTAAAGCGTTGGTATACAAAACTGCTATTCAAAGTGAAGAGGATTTACGGAATTAAATTATTAATTCATGTGACATGATAAAAAATACGCCAGGTATTTTCAGAAGAGTGCGAAATTCAATGATGCGGCGGCTAGACGGTTGTATTGAAGCCGAAGGAGGCCATTTCCAACACTTAATTTAGTGCAATTCGTCAGTCTATATGTTAATGTTATTACATATTTGTTGTTAGTGTTACATAATGAGTAATAAAAAATTGTAAAAATAATGATTTCCAAAAGAAACATTTAATTTCCCGTATTATTCCTTGTGAGGTCCAGGGATATGCAATTAGGTCGACTTTTTTTTCTTAAAAACTAAGCAAGATATGAAAAAAATTTAAGAGACAAAAAAGTTGTATTTCTAATTGCTTCATCCAAAGAAATAATAAAAATTGCACAAAAGTCAGTGGCGTACATTTTCAAGTCAAAAATATTCGTTCAAATCCCGCTCGAGACGCCACTGGACTTGAATCACGCTCGGGCCAAATTAGCTCCTTAATTTTATAAATACCATTGCCAAATTACGTCAAAATTAGGTAAAGGATATTTAAGATATTTACAAATAATTTTTTTTTCGTCTGTTAAATTTATGGTATATAATTAATTAATACCCTGTATAATACATTTGTAACAGAATTCAATTGTATTTGTATTTATTGTTCATAATAAAACTTCATTGAGAATTTAATATTTGTTTTGTTTATTGCTATTTGGTTGAAAAAAATCGTGTTGGAAATACAACACGTTACTTTGTAAACATCATCTTTTAATACTTTTAATATAAAAAAGTCACTTTTAATGACAGTTGTACAAAAAAATATTTTTTGGTCATTTGAAACATTTAATTCAGTTTATATTGTCTACGATTTTACAGAGAGACACAACCAGATGGTACCGAATAGGCAATACAATTATAACTGATGGATTAATTTTATTAAACTTGTATTAATGCATATATTTTGTCTTATCAATGGTCATTTTCATAATATGCAACAACATTGACATTTGACATTTTCATCAGTATTCAAAGGAAACTACAAGTGTGTCATATGGCTGAATTCAGAATTTGATACAGAATCTAAAAACAAAGTGAAAAATCTGGGTTACCACTGAAAAAAAATGGCGTCGTGACGCCCTAACGGATGACACCTAGTGCTGGATCTCTACGTAAATAAGAGTACCGTTTATCATCAAAATCGTCTGCTTTCACGAAATATGGATATTCTCTTTCATTTTCCAGATATTTGCCCCAGGAGTTTTACATGGGACACTCTGTATTTTTCTTCCACAGATTTCAAATCTGGTAATGCCTTTTCAGCAATGGAAGTCTAAACTTGTAACATTCACCAAAAAACATTGTCAACAGTCGAACAAAAGTTCAAGGTGTTTGTGGTAATGTCATAGAATTGAACCACTACGAACGTTTTGGGTTTTATCAAAATTTTAGGCTTGCCAGTGCTTTTTTCAAAAATATTTTCAAGGAACACAAAATCAAATATTCTACTTCGTTGAGTGTCTACGATTTGTGGGTGTTTCATCTAATCATCAGGATTTAAATTAAATCCAACCGAAAAATCCAAAACCATTTTTGTATGGATAACAAGTATTTTTAAAGTGGGACCCAAAATTCAAACACGAATTAATATCATTCGAATTATCCGAGTGGAAAATGAATTTCGCAAATGCAATTAGCATCATGATTACCCTGAAAACAGAAACGCAATTACGAATTCGTTTACCGCATTCATAAATTGAAGTGTAGCCACTTTTAATAGGATAATAATAATCATGGTTCGGGATAATTAGATTTGTGGTTTGCAGTAGTGCGATACTTTGATAATTCGCTAGAGCATAATTAAGAGTTTTCGAAAAATTTTGCATGGAAACGCGACGCGAATAGAAAAAAATACCAAACAAAAACCATTTACAGATACTTCACTAGACAGGCAATCTATTTTAATTTACTATAATTTGAAAAGCAAGTAAAATTCGAAAATATAAAACTGAACCTTACCATCTGATTTTCCAAGTAGCATTGAAAAAATGTAACAGAGACATATTTTTTGAATTCTTTGTTTTAATCAAAAAATAACAAGCGTGTTTTTGTAACAATCCGTTAAGTGTTTAGTTTATCTATTTGATTTTAATATATTTACACTGTTTTTCGTGTGTACGTAATTGGTGTTTTTAAACCGAAAGAATATCTGAATGAATTTGCAATCAAAATATGACGATATTGATCGTCCACTCCATTATTAACCGCGCGTTATGTTTTGTTCTACAAATTTGAATAGTTGAATTATTGTTTCCAGAAGCGAAACACGCTATAAAATTCACTATGGTGATTAAAAGATTTTTATTCAACGGCAAAAAATTCTACGGGATTTATCGAGTAACAGATTGACATGCTGAGTCAGATATTCTTTGGCAGATCATATTAAACCCAGTTTGGTGAATTTTAAATTTATGTACAGAAAAAACCTTTCGAATGGACTGCATACATTTATAAATTATCTTCAAGTTCGTAGAAAACTTTTGAAAGCTAGAAAAGGACCATAACAGACAGATTTACTTCGAAGGTAGTACAAAACTAATAAAAAGTTTGTATGTAAATGACAACAATGATAATGCTTTAGCTTTAACTAAAAAAAAAATAATACATTTGCTCAACTGAATCAAAGGAAAGGAAAAATATTCCAAAAATATACGTGGACCGTTGAAAAATGAGGTGAATGTTCAAATTTCGCAATCGATTAGCGATGTTTTAATCTTTTTTATATTAATACACTCGTTTTGAACATGGCTTTTGCTTGTTCGTAATTATTTGGCCAGAAAAAACACCGTAATCATGCCTCAGCCACCACATTAACCAGATTTGTCCTCCTGTGACTTTCTCCCGTTTTCAAAGTACAAAAGACATATGAAAAGACGGCTAGCACAACGCTGACATAAGTATATTATTATATCTGAAGTGGAATTCTTTAAAGGAAACAAAATGTAAATAAATAATAATTTTTGGAGAAAAATTTTTGAACAGACAGCGTATCTATATCATAAACAATTAGTACGAGACAGTTATAGGAGGGGAGACAACGATGCAAAATGGGGATTTACCCGAGCGTCATAGAGACATATTAGGTTGCAAGGCTTAGATGATAAGAAGAAAAAAATGTTATATAATATATACTTTTTCATCGGTGGGGGAAGCGGCTATAGACTTTTAAATATGTAAAAAATACTGTTGCATGGACATACTCGAGCGCGTCAGATATTGATAGCATCAATGTCCTACGTATTTTTAATAATGTTCGTATGTTAATCTGATCGTTTGCATGATGCGGGTGGTTGTACGTAAGGGTTAAAAGTGAAAAGAAAAAAAATTAATCGAGCGCGTCAGATTTTCTAAGGGGGTGTTAAGTGCAACAAAAAAAGCTCTCATTCAATAATCTGACGATTTCGATCTGACGCAAACTCGCGGCCATCATTAGAATATGCAAAAAAAATCCGCCATTTTGAAATACTAAAGCGCGTCAGATTAAGATATATATGGTTCATGTTCTAGACGTGATGTCTCATAATCTGACGATTATCTAGAAGGATTCGCCTAATCTGACGATTATCTAGAGGGATTCGCCTATTCTGACAAAAAAAAATCACATTGAACTTAATCAATTGAAAAGCTCAGAAAATAGCATGCAAATAAATAAGTATATGTTTTTTAAATAGAATACTTACATTTATAAGAAAATAATTAAAAAATAAGCTCAAACAAGTTTAATTTTTTGTAATCAATTTATTAATTAATATTCATGAATATTGATAAAACAAAATGCCTTAGATTTTGTATCCCGCAAAATACCTGTGAATATATCTCATTTGGATTTCCTATGATCTCCACTAAAGTCACAAGAACGAAATTTCTGGAATTAAATATTGATAACCATCTCAATTGGAAATCTCACTGCGAGGATCTTGTTTCCAAACTCCACACAGTTGCCTTTCAATTTAGGAATATAAAAGACATTCTGAATCCTGATCAGTTGTTGCAGCTCTATTATGCACAGGTAGAAAGTAGACTACGATATGGCTTGACTTTCTGGGCAACATCAACTTCATCGTCTTGTGTTTTTAAAGTACAAAAACGTATTATACGTTCAATGTTGGGTTTGAGCTCTCGAATCTCCTGCAGAAAATTTGGCTTTAGACGAATATAGGAATTCGTGGTTTCAACTGGACGGAGCGCCAGCTCATTCCATCCAGAAAGTTTCCAGGAAACTTGACGAACTCTTCGACGATCGTTGTTATTTAGAATGGCAATTGGTAATAAAAATGCGTTGGAAAGATAAGTTAGGCATAAAGCACTAACTTTGTTGAGGTTTGGCTAAATTTGAGAAATCGGCAAATGTCAAATTTTCGAAAAACTGTAAAAAAACTACATTTGTACTAGAGAGCTAAAAATTGGTATATGGGTAAAAAATGTCAAATTTGACAGGGAAGAAAAATCACGTGATCGGTCATATGCATGTCATTTGGCATCATTTTCAAAGCACAACCTAATGGAGATATCAAAAGTTGCTTGAAGAGATGAACAAAAAAAAATCCCATTTGATGCGGACTTTATGTGTGACACTGTATAACCATTTGTATGTTTTTTATGTGGTGTTTGCTATTCGTTTGTTGATGGTATATGCACTTTGTATGAAATCCTTCCTTTGACTTTTTCCATACAGCCTGTACTGTCTCAAGGAAATAAAATCATATTATTATTATTATTATATGTGGTCCCTAGACGCTAGTCTCTCATTTCGAAATACGTATGCAGTTCATTCGACGGTTTCAACATAAGAAATCATAGCAAGAGCATGAAATAATGTCGAAACAGATAATAAACCAACTTGGAGGACGTACCTTCTTCCAGAGCGTCGTCACCGTCGGAGACGAGCTCGTCGTCGGAGCAGATGTTGAGCACGTTGACGAGCATCTCCGTTACTTTCTCGCCGACGAAGGGCAACGACCACGTGAACACGTCCATGAAGTTGGGCAGCCAGTAAGGGTGGGGAGAGAAGTTGAACTGGCGGATGTTCATGACGTTGTTCTCGTATTTCAGTACTGCTGCCTGAAAATTTTAAACGATTTTTGTTAGTGATCTGACAATGGTACTTCGTCTATGAGCATTTTTAGAAGATTCAATGCTCGGACAAAAATAAAAAGCTAGCGAAACTCATCGGATGGTGATTGAAGCTGGAAAATTCGACCAAATCCGATTCAAGCATTTTGTTCAACCGGAGTCAAGGCTGCAGTGAAAATAAAATCGTCACATTTTCTATACAGAGTGTTCGGCCTCCCCTGTCTAATTTTCATTTGCATATCTCGACCGGTTTCAGAGCAATACCATACATAGTCGATTTTTAAGACGAACTTCAATAACCTGTATCTCGAAAATCGGATCATTTGCGGACAAAAGCATTATTTTTTCAAATCAATCGAATCAAAGTGTACTTTATTACCTTTTATTTGAATTGGCAAATGGTAAAACATTTTTTTTCCATTATACTGGGTGTAACTGAATAAGTGTAAAACATCTGAGGAGGTGATTCCTCATCGAAAAAAAGATGGGATCTTTCATATAAAGAAACTTCATTGGAGCATCCATTGTTAAGATACAGCCTCTTAAAGGGGGTACATAGAATTTGTATAACAATTTTTTTCACAAGCACTGAAAAAGTTACAATATTGAAATTAACCTGACGTTTGGTACTACCAAAAAGACACTCAGCCAGAAGTTTACCCCATGGTTGTGAGGGGTGGAAAACGCAACCCCTAAAATTTATTTCCAATGTAACTTTTTGTCTTATTATTTGTTTACCATTTAAAAATTCATTTCCGATAACCTGTTTCATTCTTAACAAAAAATGTACTTGGGTTTTATGCCCAAAATAAACCAGTTCGCAGCAAAAAATTATTTTACGAACAACTACAGAGATACATAATAAATGCGAAAATACGAAACTAATCTATCTAGTAGGTCGCTATTAGCGATAGTGACAATTAAATTGGTATGACGCTGTCAGTTTGTGAATTTTCGAAATTGATTTAATAATAATTGTGTGTTGTTGTTCTGTTCTTAATTTGTTACTTTAATAATTCACTTGTTATTAAAATGGCATACACAAATGAGGAAATGGCTGATATGCATTACGTTTACGGTCTGTCGCAGGGGAATATGTTAGAAGCTTCTAGAAGATATGCTGAAATGTATCCTCAACGGCAGCATCCTTCACATAGAATATTTGCTCGACTTCATCAACGATTACGAGAATATGGTTCATTCGACAAAAGAACGCAGGATTGTGGTCGCTATCGAGAAGTACGAACACCACAGCTTGAGGAAGCAGTACTTAATTTGATTGAAGAACAACCTACTACTAGTACTAGAAAGATTGCTTAGCAGCTTAATGTTGATCATATGACGGTATTTCGAATTTCAAAGGAGCAACTTTTATACCCTTACCAGCTGCAAGGAGTGCAGGCACTGTTACCGCGAGACTTTCCGAACCGTCTTGAATTTTGCAATTGGATGCTGAAAATGATTAGAAGAAATTGTGACTTTCTGAAGACGATAGAATTCACAGACGGGACAAGATTATTCATTTTCATAATTACCACATATGGGCTGATGAAAACCCTCACGCTATTGTCGAAACTAACCATCAAGAACAGTTTTCTCTTAACATGTAGCTCGGAGTTATTGGCGTTGATTTAATTGGGCCTCATTTTCTACCTCCTCGATTAAATGGTGAGGTATACGTTCAATTTTTAAGAGAAGTGCTGGAGGAAGTTCCTTTGGGCGTCAGAAGGGATATATGTTTTTTATGCATGATGGGGCTCCCGCCCATTTTTGTCAAGTAGCACGTCAGCATTTAACTGAAACATATAGGACCACAGAACTGGCTCGATCAATCTCCGGATCTCAATTCTCTCGATTTCTCTATTTGGAACCATTTACAACATTTGGTATATCGTACTCCTGTTCGCGATATAGAGGACTTAAGAAACCGCATCATCGATGCATGCAGGTTAATCAGAGAGACTCCAGGAATATTTGAGCGAATACGTGGTTCAATGCGCCGACGTCTAGACGCATGCGTAATGTCTAAAGGTAGACATATTGAACATTTACTATGATTTCTACATGTTGTGTGTTTTGTTATTAATAAATTAGTTTTGTTTATTACCCTTTAATCGTTCAATGCAGGTACTAACTACAAAATAACAATAAATCCAGTTCGCATTTATGTATCTCTGTAGTTGTTCGTAAAATAATTTTTTGCTGCGAACTGGTTTATTTTGGGCAAAAAACCCAAGAGACATTTTTTGTTTAGAATGAAACAGGCTATAGGAAATAAATTTTTTAATGGTAAACAAATAATAAGACAAAAAGTTACATTGGAAATGAATTTTAGGGGTTGCGTTTTCCACCCCTTACAACCATGGGGAAAACCAAATAAATTTCCGACTAAGTGTCTTTTTGATAGTACAAAACGTCAGGTTAATTTTAATATTGTAACTTATTCAGTGCTTGTGAAAAAAATTGTTATACAAATTTTATGTACCCCCTTTAAGAGGCTGCATCTTTAAAAGATAGGATCTTTCATATAAAGAAACTTCATTGGAGCATCCATTGTTAGGATTCAGTTACACCCTGAATATGAAAGACGTCTCAATTTTTGATGATATTGGAATCGGAAAACCTATATTGAGCTCATTTCTCGTATTTCGTCGTCCAATATAGGGAAGGCAAGGTCGAAATTTAATGCCTTCTGAACAAAGGTCGACAGGAATCCCTGAATCCAACTCTACACATATTTCTAACTCTCTTTTTTGTAGTACAAACACCTTATCAAACATGTATTGGCAACATGTTCCCCAAAAACAGATACCGTATCTCAGATGGGAATCAATGAGAGTAAAGTACACATTTTTTGCCATATTAGTACCCAATTATTTGCTGAAATTCTGAGAGCAAAGCATCCTGATGAAATTTTTTCACATAGGTTATTTATGTGACCTTCAAAATCCAATTTTTTTTCAATTTGTAATCCCAAAAATTTTGCTGACATTTTTGTTGTCTATTATTTGAGTATCCCGGTAAATATCCAGTGAGGACCACTTGAGGCTGATGATGCTAGTTTTTGAGATATTAAATCATAACACTCTTTTATTTTTATAATATCCATGCTGATCAAATCGTGCATTTCCCTTTCATTCTTGCAATGTTAAAATAATATAGTGTCATCAGCGAATTGGGTTATTTCTGCAGTTATATTAATGCGGGCTACGTCGTTAATATATAACAAGCAGAGAATTGGGCCTACAGCCGATCCTTGTGGAACTCCCTGTGAAGTTTGTCGCACTCATTCCCCAACATCCTGTATACAAAGTTGCTATTGAAAAACTCACATCGGCCGTTTCTACTCGGCAATCAATTTGCTTTTTCCGCATTCGGTTACATTACACCCCAACCGAAACCTAATTGCAAAATTGCATAGGTATTGCGCCTCGAGGGTCCAAACTCCATATTTTCATTGCCGACGGCTCGAATTTTAATCAACACCAAATGCACTCAAACGGCCGTCATGAGCGCGAGTCTTTTTTTCGGGGCGAAATGCTACTTTTTATTGGCCCGCCGCCACCTGCCGGAGTGAAGTTTTTAATAGCGACCAGTTGAATGGGTCTAGATAAGAATTATTTAATTTGTATATACTCATTAACTTTGTGTAGTAATGCGGCAGCACCACAGAAGAATCATCTGACAACAGGACTGTTGCCAGGTCTGTTGCCAGATGACGTAATGTGCACTTGAGCAGGTTTTACAGATTCTCTTCTAAGTCACTTTCACTGGTCCTAGCCAGCGTATATACGAACACTGTTCTGAACCAGAAAACTGTCCACACCTCAGCAACTTTTGATGCTTTATAAAGCTCAGGTCAGACTTTCTTTAGAGTATAGTTCTCATGTATGAAGCTCCGCCCCTAAGCATACCCTGAAGCTTCTGGATTCCATCCAGAAAAGAGCCATTCGCCTGATTGGAGACGTGAACATCACGTGCAACCTTGGAACATCGAAGAAAGGTTGGGGATTTGTCTACTACTTTCGCACAGGCACCGATCTCAGAGCACCTTGGGGATTTTCCTGTAGAGCTTGTGTTTTGTCCTTGAAAAAAGTTGCTACTGAAGAAACATGAAACTGGACGCCTGTTTGCAGCATCCCGATAGTGTGAGACCTTCCATGACAGTGAAAATTGCGATGCTTTGCGGGGGGAGGAGGGGAGGGATATCTGTATCTGTAGAGTAGGAAGGGGCACTTAGGCACTTAGCACTTAGGCCACATGTGACCATTGTACATCCTCTCGAGGAGTTGTCCTCCTAGGTCATCGTCCATCCTGTCCTTTCCAGGAAGATGGACAGGTCACTGGGATACATCTCCTCTATATTGGCAGGTGTAGGCCAAGACTCGCCGAACACATACTCTCTTTGGCAACTCACTTGGTGCACAAGTAAGGGAGATTTCCTGCAGGGGCAGCCGGTTCCTTGCCTTAATGGAAGGCGGAGCTCCTGGCGGCTGCCGCAGGAAGTGCCCTTGTTGTTGGAGGTGATCTGCTATGTCCAGTCTCATTCCAAGCGGTAGATTGGGGGGGACATTTCTGTTCATCCCCAGTCACCGCCTTAAATTGAGGTGAGCACTGTCCAGCCTCGAGATTGGTTTTTGTTTTTGTTGTTTCTGTTTTTGTGTTGTTTCATTCATGTGCATTCCCACGAGTAGCAAGGAAAGAGTGGGTCACCTCTGGCAGAGCCCCGCATTACCAGAGGTAGACTGATTACAATGAGGGGATCCCTAAGGGGATCGTTCGTGACCGCATATCACCCTGCGGCCATTCAGCTGTCGGCACGATTCCTTACACCTTAGCTTGGATAGGCTGGTCCACGGTGGCATGTTTTGCAAAAGCCTTTGGGAGGTTTTAGTTCCCCTCACCCTACTTATTTCTGCCACTGACCAGGAGTCCGTCGACCCTTTCCGTAAGGCCACATTGGCTTCCCAGACGAGGCCTCCATTCCCCTGGCCGTTCCCCTATCCGCCACCTGAAGACGCGCCCCTAGGTAGCCCAACCTACGGGGGGAGAGGTATTAGAATACCCCCGACGGGTTAAGTATCTCCGATGGAGGATAGAGTCCTCCTAAATGATTCCTCATTCGAAGGTTTGTGTATCCGCGCCGAAATGATGTATGCCTCTGAGAAAACTCAGAGTTTTACTTAAACTTCCTGATTTCGTCGTAGAAAGCCGTGTCACGATGGTGCGGGGCTCTGCCATGATGGACTTCTTATCCATAGCTACTAGTGAGACCCTTCATTGACCATGAAGTAATCAAAGATCCTGAGTCTAAAGATGAGATGGACGTCGATTAAACGACTTCAACTATCCTCCCTGCTACATAGGATCAACAGCAAGGACTTTTCAGTTCTTCAACTCTCAATCCTGTTAATGACCTCAGGAAGCTAGGCGGTGCAGCAAGGAAGCTGCTTATCGCCCCCAGGTGAGAGAAACAACTCTCCCTAAGTAGTTCATCAAACACGCTCAGAAGATCACTCATACATACTATATCGTTAGATATAGCTGCAGTTATTGAAGTGGAAATCTTGACATCCGCATCCGCAATACCGATTATTCAACTGAAATATCTTCGCCATGTCATGATAGCTACCGTAAAAGAGATTTCAGAGAGAGGACCTTCCTCTTAAGAATCACATTTGTGTTGCTTGCTTCATGAAGGTAGTCGCACTCTGACTTCCGATCAGATCATCACCCAATTGAGGAAAATGACCAGGTCTCTCAACCTTGGAGTGGAATATTTGACATAAAGTAGAGTACCTGTGCTTGTCTTGCTGCGGGTCGGATTCGCTTGCAAGATTCTAACTAGGTTTGTTGGGAAGCTGAATTTATTTGGTCGAGTTTAAGTATGTGTGGGTCATAATGAACCCTTCCTGGCTGAAGTGGGGAGCCATATAGACCCACTCACTTCAGACTTTCCTACCCAACTGTCCGAATTGCAAATGTATCACCAGCCTACGGAGAGGAGAATCGTTGACCCTAATTTGTAGTACATTCAGTATCTCTATCACGAATGGAAGTATCCACGAATAAGTGTGCCACATCAGGAAAGAGCATTAGTGGAATGGCTATTCCAAAAAGCTGGTAGTACAGCAAAAAAAGTCCGCAAGGAAGAGAAGCCACCACAATCAGTTCTATCCCTGCTTCACGGTGAAAAATAATCGTAGAGCTGGATCTAAGTAAGAACCTCATATTATTCAAGCCACTGAACGCAGACAATGACGATCATCGGTTAGCTTGTTGATGCGACAAAATTTACATCGGTAGAACCAAGAAGCTGTTGAAAGTTCGTATTGGCGTATTGCCCAGCGAGGAGACGCCAGCGAATCGTGAATAACGGAGTAGTACCTCAAAAAATCTGAATTTGAAATCATCCACAGCAGGTAAGAAGACTGGTTCAAAATAACATTTGAAGAAGCTGTGTAAACACTGGAATTGCACCTGAAATATTCAGCCAGGCTACTGACGAGTTCTGAAACGCATGAAAAACTCTAAAGGAAGCGTGAAAACACCTGTGAGTCACTGATAGAGTTCAGTATTATTGTTGAATCTACGATAAGAAAATTTGTAGATATCTACCAAAGATCTCGCACACAGCATTGAAAAGCGCCAAAAGGAAGCCAATTCAATCAAATCGCGCGGGAAGTACGCGCGAACCCGCCATTGCGAAACATTAGCTCTATAAATGACACGGCTGAAATGAGAGCTTCAGTTTTAGTTGACACGTCAAGAAGAGTGCTTTGATCATGCCACTGAATATGACTGCCGCAGATGCAGTCGAAACGTTTGGATATAACTGAAGAGATAACCAAAAAAACCACGGCAATACCTGGAAACCAACCAAAACAGTGTTCTTATTGTTTAGTTACCAACTCCATGAAGTGATGTGAGTATTTACTATTTGATGTCAAATTGATGGTATTTGGTTATGTCGTCGATTCATGTTTCATTGTCTGGTAATTAGATTTCTATGAGATAATGTCAGATCCAGAAGGTATGCCTACTAGCATCGTTGAAATCTTATTTTTGAAGATATACGGCCCTTCAAACATTTTTCAGAAACCCACGAATTTTTCCATCCACCACGCTGTTTCAACATGGCGCAGACAGTAATTTATATTCTTCTATAGATCGCTACAATGATGTAACGTGAACATACATGGAATAATGTTATGAACAGATAATAACTGACCGCAGCTTGAGGCGATTAAGTTGAAAACGATGATAAACTACAGATTCGGACTACAAATCGAGCTACAAGCGTTTGGTTATGTTGGAACCGAATATCCGAATAAACGGACAGGGGAACGGACAGGGGACTGGGGGCGCTGTCTGGTAAGCCAATATGCGGCCTTATGGACGGGATCGCCGGTCTCCTGGTCTGTGGCAGAAATAAGTAGGGTGAGGGGAACTAAAACTCCCCAAAAGCCGTTGCGAAACATGCCACCGTGGACCAGCCTACCCAAGCTAAGGTGTAAGGAATCGTGCAGACAACTGAATGGCCGCAGGGTGACATGCGGTCATGAACGATCCAATTGGGGAACCGGGCGAAATCTCATTGTAATCAGCCTTCCTCTTGTAATGCGGGGCTCTGCCAGAAGTGACCAACTCTTCCTTTGCTACTCGTGGGAACACACATATGAAACAAATCCCGAGGCTGGTCAGAAGTGCACCTCAATCTATGGCGGTGGCTGGGGATGAACAGAAATGTCCACTCTCTACCGCTCGGAATGAGGCTGGACATAGCAGATCACCTCGTGATGTAATACAAAGGCGGCGCATTTGCGGCGCCGAGGCCAAAAGGAGACAGAGAACAAAAGCGGCAGGAGTGGCAGCAACTACAAGTGCACCCTCCTCCTCCCTCACTCCACCTCCAACATCAAGGGCACTTCCTACGGCGGGCGCCAAGATCTCCACATTTAATAAAGGCAAGGAACCGGCTGCTCCTGCAGGAAATCGCCCTCACTTGAACACCTCCAGTAGGGGAACCCCAGGAAGGTTGAAGAAGCCGCGCAACGACAGTAATGTCGCTGCACGTTCCAAAACCTTCGCGGAGGCCGCAACCTCAAGAATGCCAAAGAGAGTGTGTGTTCGGCGAGCCTTGGCCTACACCTGCCGATGTGAAGGAGATGTTTCCTAGTGACCTGTCTACCTTCCTGGAAAGGACAGGATGGACGATGACCTAGGAGGACAACTCCTCGGGAGGCCATACAATGGGTCACATGTGGTCTAAGTGCTAAGTATGTACTATATACATACATACATACAAACAAACTTAGTCCGTGGTTACCTCGAAGAACCACATAGAAATCGTTAAACACTCGAGGAGTTAACAAGAAACACAACAATAGGGGAGGCAAGATGCCGAGTCGTATCCGTGTTTGAAATGACCCTTCAAAGTTCTCAACTTTCGGCGCCATTCGAATGGAGCACAATGCGAATTTTTGTCTGGCGTACGAAGCGAATCGACTATTGAGCGAAAGTCAGCATTGCGACCATTGTGCCGGCTTAATTGGTGCAGAACAATTGAAAGTAATTAGCATCTTAAAAGGACTCGAAACGCTGCTGATAATGAATATTTATATGACAACGCTATAATACATATGAACTGCATTAACGGCAGATCAGCTCTTATACGGAATATCGTCTCGGATAAAGTTTCGTGTTTACTGTAGACAAATAGACCAACAATCAGCGTCCCCCGTGATGCGAGCTGTCGTGTGAATGCAAGTCATGAAACTGAATTTGTCGCATATTTTAGTCGACATCATGATTTCCATTGCTTTGATATGTCCACGAGATTATTCACCATCTCAAAGTATTACAAAATTTTTTAACCAGTTGATCCGGCTCGAAGGACCATTTAATCGGAGCACCTCCAGTTTACTGTCTATAAATAGTCTGATACCAAATCAGCTTCCACCTCGTTATACGAAAGCTATCGTTTGAATGCAAATCATCATACCATGAAACATAATTGTCTGATATATGCCATATATCAGACAATGGAAGTCCAAACTAATGAAATTCACCATGGAACATTGTTAAACACTTCGAAACAAACCAGACAGCGCTGTTTCAACACGTAATCTATAAGACCGACTAAAAACTCAAAACTTGCTCATTCAAATTGACAAGGGTTTCTCTAAAGCCAAAGTTCAACATCAACGGCGGATAAGAAATCGCTTTCTACATGTCTCTTCGGCAACTGCAAGGCAACCAGAAGAAAGCAGGTTCTAAAATCAAAATATAAGTGATCCATTGTTGGATTAGAAATTCAATAGTTTTGTGTTCGTAATATTATATTCACATGAATAAATCTGTTTGACTGGACTAAGCGTTAGCCATTAACAATAAACTTGATATGAGAAGTTAACAGACCCTCTTTGTTGTAGTTAATATGTGTGTCATCTTAGACACATGAAGATTTATCACCAGCAGAGGCATTATTTCGAGATGTTAATCAGTCGCAATTGTGGCCCACAATTTGAACAGTTAGTGCTTTCAGTCACCAGTTACAGAGTCGTATGAAACAAAAATTTTACTACAGTTTTATGAAAAGCTATGATACGTGGTTAGAAACAGATGAGATATACTAATTTTAGATTTCATTAACCAGATAATTATATACTAGGATTTGATATTCAACAGAGGCGTAAATTATTCAATGAAAATGTATAGCCTTAAATTACAGATTTAACTAAACACACAACGAGAGCTTTCGAGAAAATAATGTTCAAAACTCACCTTATTATTATAAACGTCCAGATAATTTGGTGCTGAGAATATTGTTATTAGTGATGGGAAGCCTGTCGTTTGACTTTTTCTATACATCCTATATCTGAAACAAACATAAAATCGTGAATTTTCAAAGAGCCTTCAACTGAAACATAAATATCTTGAAAGACTTTTGGTACCAAAATTGGTTCAGAAATTCTCTGTCAGATCATATGATCAGGTTATCTTAGAGAACCAAGAGAGCTTCTCATAGCTCCCTGAAAAGCATCCATCACATGTTCACTTGATTTGGGAGAATGTACCATGGTCTATCAACCTTGAAGGTAGCAGAATCACTATCTGAATCAGGTTTCTCGCGTTTCACAGATTCTAACTCTTGCCAGTTGACCTGAAAGATCACTTATCAAATACAGCAATCGGTTTCGTTATCAGACTGGATTCTTCTGGTCGAGTTTGAATACGAAGTTTGGCTAGAAAATAAGGGGACGGGTTTTCTTCGAGACAAACGGTACGGGCCTCAAAGTCAAATACCATAATGCTAAGTCGCCTGATATCCTCCCATCCAGATTTCAGCCGATTGGACGAAACTAGTTTGCTCAGCTGCACCAGTGCCTTTGTTTCATTTTAATTTTTTTCTTCTTATAGACTTCAAATAAGTCAGTAATCGTTGAGACTTTCGAATATTGAAGATGTCTGCCGCACTAGCAGAAAAAACGTTTGGTACTTAACTTCCATTTTAGAGCGGCCTACCAACCCGAATTTTGTTCTCTTCAATTGTGACTCTGGCCGTGGAAGCCTATGATCTCAGAGACTTCAAATCTGTTGAGATATTTTGTACAATTGGAGTCTGAACCTTCAACATACATTTCCTCAACTATATATGTCAATAATTTGAAATAAGTTAATCTTTATGTTATTCAAAAGTTTGTATAAGAAAATATTATTTGATATATTCATAGAGATAATTGTTGTTTAGTGCTGCAAGCAGCTTCATTGGACCACAATCTGTCACCTGTCATTGGCATCGGTTTAGGCTTTGCCAAACAAAAATTGAACACCTGGATGAGAAGAAGATTTATGGACTCCTGGCAGAATCTTCCAGGATTGGTTCACTCCGAGCCGTTTATTTACCCTTTGAAACTTGATACCAAACAGTTGTTGGACTACAGTAGGAATGAATTACGATGTCTAACAGGCCTTCTTACTGTCATTTGAATTATCATATGCAGAAACGGTGTGTGTCGCCTCTGTTTGGAAAATGATGAAACAGCAGAGCATATACTTTGCGCCTGCCCCGCTGGGGACCGAATCAGGTTCTTAGAGTTCGGCAGACCCGCACTTTTACTATCTGACCTGAAAGACCACTCACCATACAAACTAATCGGCTTCGTTGAGAAGCTGGGTTTATTTGGTCGAGTGTGAATAAGTGTGAGCCACAATAAACCCTTGCGGGTTGCGGTTTAGGGTCGAATAGACCCACTCACTTAGGACCCAACCTAATTGTTGTTCAATGATATCAGTTCATGAACCATTTTAGTATCCCACTCTCGGAAAAGCATGTAACGGGTGATTTTTTATGAGGTATATGATTTGATTTTCAAAACAACACAAAAAATTTGGAAAAATTGATGAAATATTCATTGGAATCGATAGAACGATCATTATAATTCAATGTTTGAAGATGATTTCATGCAAATGTTGTCGGCGGCTTCGCTTTAGATGGCCCATGCGCAAGGTCCAATTTTGGCATACTCTCTCTAACGTAGCGACCGGTATTACACGAATAAATGCTTCAATATTAGCTTCCAGAGCGTCAGTCGTTGCTGGCTTATTCCTGTTAGACATGAGCCTTAACATGACCCCAAAGAAATGATCCAAAGTCGTTGAATTACACGATCTAGGCAGCCAATTGACGGGCCCCAAACGTAAGATAAACTGTTCACCGAAAGCGGCTCTTAATTGGGCCATTGTTTAACGTGTCGTGTGGCATGTGGCACCGTCTTGTTGAAACCACACGTCAGGCATGTCCAATTCTTAGACTTTGGCCAACAAAAAAACGTCAATCATCATACGGTAGCGCTTGCCATTTTAAGTAAAAAGTACCCATAATCCACACCAAATAGTGACTTTTTCGGGATGCATCGGTAGCTCTTGCAATGCTTGTGGCTGGTCTCCACTCCAGATGCGGCAATTTTGCTTGTTAACGTATCCATTCAACCAGATATGAGCCTCGTCGCTGAACACAATTTTTCTATTAAAATGAGAATCTTCCTCCAACTTTGCCAGCGCCTACTCACCAAATGTTAAACGTTGTGGGAGGTCGTGTGGCTTGAACTCTTGCACCAGCTGTGTCTTATAAGGTTTTATACTCAAATCTTTTCGCGAAATTTTCCACGTAGTGGAGTAACAGAGGTCCAATTGCTGCGAACGACGGCGAATCGACATTTCACGGTCATCACGAACACTGGCGGATACAACAGCAATATTTTCTTCGGTCCTCACTCTACGTATGCGTGTTGGTGGTTTAATGTCCAATAATTTAGTCACAAGCTTCCGAATAGCTCCCTCAGTAGGCCGACGAAACTGCCCATAAATTGGAAGCAATGCACGATGCACTTTCTTCACCGAGCATGAATTTTGATAATAAGATTAAACAATTTGCAAGCGTTGTTCATTCGTAAGTCGATTCATGGTTAAATTATAAACCAAACTGAACAAGTTTACACGTGATGTGTCAAAAACAGTGTTGCCAAAAAGATACCAGCAAAAAAATCACTCATTGTAATAAACTTACCCTGCATCTTGTGCCTCATGTGCTCTAATTATCGATAGGAGATTATTATTTTGTAGAAAATCACAACACGCAGCGTAGCTGAAACAAAAAAAAAATTAGTAGAAATAATTAATTTCCTTCGAAGAACATAATATTTTCCTCCAAAGATCGATGGAATCAAATGAGTAATTACGAAACCACCCTTCATTGATGTTTTTATTCTTCTACTTCCTTCAGTTTGCTAAAACAACTTGAAATACTAATAAAATGTTCAGAGTCTCATTATTTTACTCCATGTCGTTCATGTGGCACATTTATCAAAAGGTTGTGTTCATAAACTTACTCCTGCCGATAGAGCAGAGTTTGGTACATGATTATAGACATATAGACTTACTCAGAGTATCATGATCTCATTCCGAAACGTAGCAGTGAATTGATGACTGATAGAAACATCAGTGGCATGGGTTCCAAGAGAGTATCCCTAGGGAGGTTAGGTTAGGTCCAAAGTGAGTAGGTCTATTCGGCCCTCCATTGCAACCCACAAGGATTTATTGTGGCTCACACCTATTCACACTCGACCAAATGAACCCAGCTTCTTAACGAAGCCGATTAGTTTGTATGGTGAGTGGTATTTCAGGTCAGATGGTAAGACTACGGCTCTGCCGAATTCTAAAGACCTGATTCGGTCCCCAGCGGGGTAGACACAAAGTATATGCTCTCTTAATGACGAGTTAGTCCGATAGTCAAGTTGCAAGATTCCCACCTTGATACCTACGACAACCTTCCCATATATGGGTTTTTACACGTCAGCTTAGATTTAGCCGTGAATGGCTTTTTCGCCTCTGGTTTTGGTGAATCATCACTTGAGCACAAACGTTTGCTAACCTGCTCATGGGGGGTTTGTCCCCCCCCCCCCCTGAGACAGATTCTGCGTACGCTCCTGAACTGAATTTACAGGGAGGTCAATTGGAGTCGTAAAGTGGACATCCATCTCCTCCGTAGACTCGCTCCTAAGCTGAATTCCCTAGGAGGGAGTTTCGTCACTAATATTATAGAGCCTTGTAATGGACACAAAGCACTGGGCTATGCAAATAACTTAGTTATTCTAGTCCGGGTCAAATAAAATAATATTGTGAAGGCACTCATGCAGTGAGCCCTGAATATTACAAAAAGAACGAACGAGAAAAAAGGACTGAACATAAGCCCAACGAAAAGGACAATAGTAGCATTCACCAAGAGGACTAACACAGAGGGCCTAGGACCTTTGAAACTTCGAGGTCAAGGGAAAGGTCATACATCTGAAAGTGATACTAGAGACCTGGCTGAGGTAGCACTGATGCTGGCCGGATGGACTCATGGAAAGACATTGGCTGAAACCAGACATGATGTATTGACTCTACATCATGGTGATTGAACCAATGAACATATGCATCTATGGTCTGGTGGCCAAAGATGGAAACACCGAACTGATTTTAAAAAACTATGCAGGGTGCATTATACGTTCATATTCTTCAGTTAAAAAAGTACTGATTGAAGTAAAATCAATTTTAGGTGTTCAATTAAAATAAGCGAGTGCTCCATATTTTTGTTATTCGCCGTATACACAGAACTATGAAAAGTCTTTCTAGAATTGTTATCACATCACACATCAATATTAAATATTCAAAATGAATAACCACATTTGACACTTTTTAACCGACTCAATTATGTACGCCTATGATTCATGATTCAGCTGCTTGAGGGAATATATTTCTTGTTTGAATTTGTTGAGTAAATGGTTGTTGCCGTTGGGAGATTAATGCTTCATTATCATTATTATTTGTGTTACATCGATGATATATAAAAATAACATCTACCCCTCGGAAATCCGAGTAACGGCCTCCCACATACATTCCCATCACGCACTCTTTTCACTCGGCTAAACCGCTCTTCGCGTCGTCTCCTCTGCCAACTTCTTGAATCATTCATAAACATCCCCCGACATAAGCAAGTCGCTAATGTGGTCTAATGCGGTGTGTTAAAACTTTCCTGAACCCAATAAAACACTTGTTCCACACATTATCATTCCGAATTAGACCGTTTAAAAAACGCGACCCATTAACAAGTTCGAACACAAAGCTCGACATGTTGGGTTCGAAAGTTGCGTGGGAAACATTCGAACTGGATAATCAGGTGATGAACGAAATTTTGAAAAATCCCCAAAAAATGGAAAAGCGACTATTTTCAGAAATGTATTCAGAATATGTCCAGGGTTCATAAGGAAGAAAATCATCTATGACTATTTAACAAATGAAAATATGGATCAGTCCACACAAGTGAGGGAGATGTTTTTTTTTGCTGACTGGGTTCTATATCTGACCAATTCCGCGGAAAACAATGCAGAATCTAATGATTTCCCATGACCCGGAGCCTAAATTTGGATGAAACATCTCAAGATGTTTCGCAGCATTGTATTTGAGAGTATTATTCATTCACGATTCTTACATTTCAACAAGTGAAATAAATATTAATATTATTTTTATCAACGGGTAAGTGTGTCACGCCCTGTCCCTAAGGCTCCGACACAGTCGTAAGGGCGCGCCAGTATCCTCAACCAATGACCTCTCCCCTCACCATTTAACACATCATGGGATAAGTGATCCGTGAATCATGTGGGAACGCACGAAGGAAGAAATGTTAGCCATTTGTCTGGCTAAAATTTCTGCCTTCGTGCGTATCATTGTTATCCATAAGATTGCGCTGGTCTGGCCTCATCCCCAAAGCCCCAATACAGTTGGGAGGGCGCGCCAACATCCTCAATCAATGACCACTTCCCACATCATTGGGGTAAGTGGTCAGTGGGCCCGTGAATCATGTGCGATCGCAATGAGCCGAGAATGACAACCTACTGCTTTTGTCTGGATATATTTCTGCTTTCGTACATATCATTATTATTCATAAGATTGAGCTGGTCTGGCCCTATCTCCAAAGCCCCGATACAGTCGGGTGGACGCGCCAGAATCCTCAACCAATGACCACTCCTTAAACCGTTGGGATAAGTGGTCATTAGGTCCGTGAATCATGTGCGAACGCAATTAGCCAGGAATGACAACCTTCTGTATTTGTCTGGCCAAAATTTCTACTTTCGTGCGTATCATTATTAACCATTAGATTATCGGGCCCTATCCCCAAATCCTCGATACATTCGAGAGAGCGCGCCGCATTATCATGTGCCCTGAGCAGGCAAAATGAGCCGAGAATGTCATTATTTTGCATTTGATCGGCTAGAGAGTAGCGAGGATATACGTTACTCGTTTTTCCTCCTCTTTTCGGACGATATTCGTCTCACCAGGAGCTTAAAACTCCACGACAAATATCCTTTTGCTCTGGTGGTCGAGGAGGACTCCATCAGGCTTATAAGTGTGTACGAGCCTGGGGGTGGGGAACGAATAGTTTCAATAAATTCGGCACTTCTCCCACAACGGATTCAATATCCCCCGAAGCGTAGGGCAACACCGGTGTCTCGTCGAATGCCGTAGGTGGTAATAAAGCACTCTCAGGGCCACGTTATATCTATGGATATAGGCCGAGACCGCATATTCTGGACATGCTGACAGCAGATGACTCAGATGCCTCGCGGTATGTTCTGCATCTTGTGTCAGGTACCTCTATACCTCTATTATTATTATTTGAAATAAAGGGTGAATAGAACCTGAACCCACATTTTTTGCAAATCGGTGATGCATGACAAAATTATGCAATATGCTGTATCGCTACTATTCACCTACGTGTGATGTTTTCAGTACATGTTTCCTGATTTGTTGCCGTAGCGTTCATGTGGGTACCTCCACAGCTGGTTCCAATCCCATTCGAAATTGGTGATCTATGATTGATACACTAATGTTTTTCCACTCCCTATGATTTCTAAGTGTTGTAGCACCCAGTATTGGCCACCATTTTCTCAGATCAGTCTTGACGCGAGTTTTGAGTTCTTCCTGCCCCAAATGCAGTTTGATCGTTTGTAACTTGTTATACCTTGTAAGATTGAATACATTTCTACCTGGACGACGATGTGTATTGACTGGAAGGGTGACTATAACGTAACTTAGGCTCATACAATATATTACAGTTCGGTTTTTGACCCTCTGTACTGTATACCAATTTCGTTGTTGATGACTGTCCATCATTCATTCTTCACGGTTTGTGACTATAACTGTGAGATTTGTGGTGAAAGTGTACTTCGATGTCGTGCTGTCCAAGAACCTGTCCCTCCTATAATGGTCGTGTACACCAATCGTTCTCTAATCATGCAATCTAAACTTGTATCAATCATTTCTCACTTTCTCTATAACTGGATACTTGATTAAAGGATGTCCTGTCTGCCCTAGCAGCTAAGTCCACTTGTTGCGATATATAACCATTTCTGATGACCGCACTGCATTTGCCACCTGATTAAATCGTCGACGGCCTGTAGAAAATTACTTGTTGATAAAATTATTACGAATCGCTTTTGTTTAACTCCACTTTTTATGAACTGGTCGAGTTCTCAATATCCCTATCAAACCAGAAAATACCCAATTCTATTACTTGGAAGGGTCTAATGAAGAACGTTCTCAAGCCCACGTCGCTCGTAAGGCTTGAACCAGATTGTAACCGTTGAATGTCATCGTACTTACGTACTTACTTGTCCTAGGATTTCGAAGCTATCTGAACTTACAGGTCGTAACTTATAAAGGCATAGAAACTGAGCTATGGATCAAAATAATTTTCAACAGGTTGCTCATTAACTTTCACACAAAAACTCTGGAGGTAAAAATCTGGCGTGGTCAATAAGTCACAGAGCTAAAAATTTTACGTATTATAATAAACCATCTTCATTTAACAAAATTTTATCTGTGAGAGGAAATATCCAATATCAAAGTATCCACTCACCTGTAGAAATATGAGCAGCCTCTTACAGAGTTGTGTGAGAAGTGTTCTGCGTTATTTTCATTTCCGAAATCTTCCAAGGGATCCGACCACAATAAATCGCACATGGGCCCAAACGCTGGAGGTTCTTTGAATCTGTCTAACTGCAACAAAAATCAACGTCAAACTTGCATTAACAAGGATCAATTTTCAAATCTAGCAATTGATTTGACAATCTGACAAAAAAGTACGAGTACTACGCTAAATACACACATCGGAAAAGTCCAGGGATATTTTTAAAAATGGCAATAATTTTTTTTAGATCGCTTTAGGATGACCTCATGCATTTATTTTTATGATATTTAGTATGTTATAAAAATATCCCTAGACTTTTCCGATGTGTGTATATTGTCCATAGACACACAAATTATATGTTTCAACTAGTTTGAAAGATACATATGCACTGCGGAAACCAGTGACTAGACCGGGGGAGTATGCCTCAATATGTCACACGGAAAGAATCAAAGTTATATGTTCCATGGACACTTCATTACATTTCATATTTTATAGTGACATGACAATTGATTTGGACAAGTCCTTCAAGACAGTTATCAAAATGTTTTATTGAAGTCTCATTTTGTTTATCTCCTACGGCAATATCGGATCCAACCTAATTGTTGTAGCCAGCCATGCTAACCTTTTTTTATATATACATGAATGATTCTGAAGGCTGGGTTGACTCGCATTTGAAGTATTCAAAATTTCTATGTTATTGGAATCTATACAATGGTCATGCTGGTCAACATGTTCTTATAAGGCACATTAATTTATATTAGATTGAAAATCGCTTTTATGGTGCGATTATTGATTTTCCTAGACGTTTGACCAATATACTTTTCATGGTAGTCTGACCAAGGTATTTTATGAACAACATTCGATTTTTCTTTTAGAAATGGGTGTTAGGGATATAATTCGGAAATAGTGGTCATATTTTTGTTTGCGTTTTCGATTTTGAAGGTGTTAATCAACTGTGGAGTCACATATGTATGGTAACAATCAGAGAACAGGTGTAACTCACTTTTGTATTGCAAAATAGCAATTCGCTAGATAGGTGTTTCGAGTGAAAATTTCAAATAAGTATCTATATTTCTTATATTCTTTTAAATTCATTTATTTATTTGAAAATAGGAAATCTTAATATAAATACAAGTCCAAAAAGGCAAAAATGGTATATAAAAAATATTAAAATAGTATAAAACTTCTACTAACAATAAAATACGTTCGAATAATATATAAATACAAGAAGCTGAAAAGCTAGAAATTGAAATGTGTTCCTGAGAATACTGTCCCATAACACAGAACAAATCAGGAGTATTCAGAATAGTTAGTTCCATATTACAATTATACTAGGGCATAAAAACAATTATTCGAGTGGGTATGAATTATTTAACATATCAATGTGGCAACGATGTAACATAATGTATACAGGACACATAAAAGCTCGAACCAATAAAACAATTAAACTATTTTGTCTCAGAGAGATAGTTCAACTACTCTGTTTCTTAGAGATGTTACCATATTGATTTTCATTTTTTGAGAACGATATTAGCGCTAGTTAAGAAATCTGTTACTTCTCATCTATTTTATATACCATCTAGTTGATATCTTTTTTTTTTTTTTTCAAAAACTACACCTCACGATTTGATATCCACAAACATTATTTGAAAAATATCACAACATGTTTCGCTAGCAGTAGCTACTGTTACATCCATTGTCACATATCGACGCAAAAATTCCGGTTTGTTATGTTTAAACATGGCCAAACACTGCTCAGAACCATCAAGACGTTCTTGTTTTTGGCCAACAGTGAGCTCGCGCGGCACCCACTTTGAATAGAGCTTTCTCATAGTCAAATGCTCATGCTTTTCGATCATTCAAAACGATTTGGTGGATTTTTTTATGTTTACTGGTGTTACTGCCACATTTGGACATCCATTGCGTTCTGCATCATCGGTATCTCTACGACCACATTTGGAGTCAGCAAAGCAACGTTCAATTGTCGTTTTAGTCTAATCAACAAGTTCAAAAACATGGAAAATAGAGATAAAGATCCTAAGAATATGAGCGATAGCTCATTCGATTCGGAATCACCTCTAGAAAAATGTTTTCGAAGGATTTTGGTGCCGGTAAAAAATTGCAACTGTTATTAACAAAATGAAAAAAAATGGTATTTAGTTTTTCGTTAATAACTCGAAAAATATTAATATTTAAGCAATTTTGAAAAGTTCGTTAAAGAGGAGGAAATTTCCGATAAAAAAGTCCCGACTCCTGAAACTCTATCTCCATTATTTATTATTTTAATTTGACGTTGAAAATAGGGTTCCGCGCGGCTGTTACAGCATAAGCGCGTTGCCGCTAAAGAGAGTTTATCGAAAGAAATAATTTTTTTATAACATAAAATGTCATTTTAAAAATTTGAAAAAAATCTAGTATCTTCTTAACAGCTTCACAAACTTC